TTCCAAGTGAAATACATGTAAAACAGAAAACCAATCTTTTAGAATGCAATGACAAACTGAAATAAAATTAGGAGTCTAAGTGAAACATACTCATTGGAGCAAATATAAAGCAAAAATAGGAAGTCGGCATTGACTAAGCTTTTTTAAGAGTCCAAGTGAAACGTAGTCATTTGAGCAAATATAAAGCAAAAATAGGAAGTTGGCATTGACTAAGCTTTTTTACCAATAAACATATTATCCAAATGATGATAGTTTATAAAAACTGATAAATAATGGTTAAAAAGTGTTGACCAATCCTCGCCAAATTTTTACTCTCATATCCTTGGCATTCTACACCATTAAAGATTGTTTTCCCCATTCACATGCTAAGTTCTTTCCAAGCTGATCAAATACCCCCTATGGAAGCTAAACAAAAGTTAAATTACCTTCTTATTGAAAAAATATAGTATGACAAACAAAAATTTGGATATGAAGAACTATAAATTGTAGAGGCTCATAGAAGACCCAGAAAAAAATGATTACAAAGATTCATGAAACCAATATCTACCATGAGTTCTATGCATCTTCTGGATGGAAATTTGCAAAATAAGGAGATGGAAAAAATCAGAGAAAAGAAGTAAGATTTTAGATCTTAAAGCTATTTGTTTTACCTTGGTGGATGCAAACCATATGACAGAGCATTGAAATTCCTATGTCCCCAAAAAACAAATGTGTATTATATAAGATCTATCAAAAACCAAACCGTGGAAAATTCTGATAAATGGACCGGGATGACTGTTTGATATGCACAAAAAATAGGTCTTTCCGGTAAGATATGTCTTTCCCAGAAAACTCCAAAACCATATCTTTCTGGATGAATAGGCTGGAAAGACAATTATGCCCCAAACTCCGCATCTTTCTTTATTGAATTATTATATATTAATAAATTTATTTTTAATATATAATATTTATGTATTAATTGATATTGTTTTATTCTGATTATTAATTTCTTTTAAATAATTATTTTTTTATTTCCTTTTTATGGATTAATTCTTTTTTATTGGATTATTATATATTAAAAAATATTATTTATAAATATATAATATTACTTTATTAGATTATTAATTTATTTTAATTCATTTTTATTGGATTAATTTTTTTTGTGGACAACACCATCATCTTAATACATTTTAAAAAATTTCATCAATCCCACCACTATCGGACATAAACCGGGTCAAAATCACATGTTGAGTTATAAAAAAATGGCTAGAAAGAATAACAACGTAACATCAACTTGACAAACAATAAACTAAAAATAACTTAATCGGCATTATATTTGGATTTTTTTAATGATTATTGTGTAATTTTGATTTTGTATGACAATTTGTATGTTTTTATAATTATTCAACAACTTTATCCTTCACAATATAGAACAGCATGGTAATATTGTCATTTTTCATCATTCAGCACAATCAATTAGATTTACAATCAAACACATGGTTTTCTTTCCCATTCAGAAAACTCTCATAAAGCACTTTACCAGACAGCATTTTCTCGGACATAAATTATCAAACGAGACCTTATACCCAATCAGGACTGTTTTTAAGCCATATATACACATAAAAGAAACCCCCAAATGAGATGAAAGACTTAATTATAATATTATATGTGTTAGTAGCAATCATAATGAGAACCCCACAAATAGCTTCAAAACTCAAGGTTCCATCACAAAACAATTAGCCAAAAGATCAAATTCAATATTTCTCCCTTAATTAAAATATTATATGTGTTAGTAGTAATAATAATGATCTAAACAATATCATTTTGAAGGTGACATGGAAAAGGCTAAAAGCTAACTCGTTTAACATAGATACATGACACACCTCAGCTTCTTACCCCTGCCCGGTTGAAATTGGGACTGTTTCCTACTTTGGGCAAAACAAAGTCTATTAGTGCTCGAGTCACCTCAAGTTCCTTTTACCTGTCATACCAAAAAAACATATGTTCATTTCATATTCTAAGGATTTTGGTTTTACATAATAAATAATATTTTTAAACATGGTCTCTAACCCTTATTGGAGTTAAAATAATTTGTCCACATGTCTTCATCTATCGGGTCTCCTGTCTCAGTGTCATCTTATTTCATCTTCTAGAATTCAAGATTCTCAAACAATCCCATCAATAGAAAGTTGTAAACTGTAAAGTAATGAATACCTTGAAAAAGATGTCATTTTCAACAAATAGTAGATAAAATATCTTGCTTGTGAGATTAAAATGTTATAATCGAAGAATTGGATTTATAAACTACAAAAAGAAGAATATCAGAGTTGATGCCAAGGACGGTTTTGACTAGGTGCCCGGTGTGGCACCGGCAACACCTAGTTTCCGTGTATGCAGTGTAAAAATTTCCAATTTTTTTATTTTATTTATTTATTTTTTTTGCATATTGTGCCACTACGTAAAAAAATCGGCAACTACGTAAAAAAATTGGCAACTACGTAAACAAAATAGTCACCCTGTTGGATCAACCAAGCCCAAAAATATATTTATAACTTAGACTTATCAATTGGTAGTCCAAAAAGCCTATTAATTTTAGCCCAAAAAAAACTAATAAAGCCCAATGCCATTTGGATAATTGGATCTTTTGATCCGATTGGGAGAATGACAAAAACGTTCGGGAGATAATTCATCAGTAATCGACAATTGCAAAACAGAAAAAAAAAACCATCAAGCCATCGAACACAGGGAGTCAAGAACGGATGCACACGCACGACACCTTCACTCATGAAGACACGACTTGACGACTTTTGCTTGGTGCTTGATGCTTCCATTGCTAATTCCTTCTAATTTCTTAAGTGTCTTGTTGATTGAGTAGCAAAAATCGATTCCCATTTGTTCAATTCGACTCCAAGCCCTAGCTAAGAATGAAACAAGTAAGTGTTTGAAAATTGAAATTTTACCAATTTGTTTAGGTTGAAATCGAAATTACTATGTTTTTATCTTGAATTGGTGAAATTGCTATGTTTTTATTGATGTTATTGACTTATTGATTGATTTGGTGAAATAAAATTGCTATGTCTTATTGTCTTTATTGAAGTTCAATTTTGATTTGTTGTAATTTGTATGTTTTTATTGAAGCTATTGGATGATTTGGTGAAATTATTCGTTATTTAGCTTAATGTTGAATTGTAGGTAGGGGTGTAAATGAGCCGAGCCGAGCCCGAGCCTAACCAAGCTCGAGCTCGAGCTCGATTCGAGCCTTAAAATGAAGCTCGAGCTCGGCTCGTGAACAATTTAGTGAGCTCGCGAGCCTAAACGAGCCTATATATATATATATATATATATACACACACACACACACACTCTCTCTCTCTCTCTCTCACACACACACACACACACACACACACACACACACATATATATATATATATATATATATATATATATATATATATATATATATATATATATATATATATATATATATATATATATATATATATATATATAGGCTCATTTAGGCTCATTTAGGCTCGCGAGCCCACTAACTGAAGCTCGGCTCGAGCTCGTTTAATAAACGAGCCTCATATTTGGGCTCGAGCTCGGCTCGGGCTCGTTTAATTCGATCTCGAGTCGAGCTTTTAACGAGTCGATCCCGAGTAGCTCGGCTCAGTTACACCCGTAATTGTAGGTTACCCTTGGTGGTTTTCTTACCAAAAGACCAATACCTAATCCTAATGAAAGTGGTGAAGGATCTTCCCAAACACCAATCACCAATCAATCAATTCCTTCGGTCTCTAATGCAATTCCACAAACACAATGCTCTAATAAAACTAATGATGGTGTTGATTTAAAAGATCTTCCAAAGGACCCGGCGGACAGGCCAATGATTACAAGTTATGCCTCAAAAATAAGAGATGATGTAAGAAGGACATATTTGCTTCAAGGACCTTGTCAAATAAGACTACACAAGTTTCCAAAAAAGAAAATAGGTGATAGATTAAGAAGCTTCGTTCCTTCATGGTTTAACGATTTTGATTGGTAATGAATTATTTTTTGGTTTTATATTATGTTTGACCGGAAAAAAAAATCGGCAACACCTACTGTCAATTCCTACGTCCGTCCCTGGTTGATGCTACTGGCTGATGAATACTTCCTTCTGTCCAGCTGGACTGCTGTTTCTATTTGCAAGATAACTCATAATCTGTTGCTTTGTAAAGAATTTAGTTACATTAATGAGATCGATGGAAACCTACAACAATACTACAACAACACAAAGACTGTTAAACATGGTCACTAACCTTTATTGGAGCAATCGACAAGGTACATAGAAACCCCATAAAAAATAGAAGCATTTAAGAGGAACATCAAAAGCAAAACCCTAGAGGAGTTAGCCAAATTAGAAATTTTAAAAGCAACGGGTAAAAAATATTGATAGGGTTCATCAAGTTGTTGTACGATTGCATAAAAACAATATGTATATCAGAGTTGTCCCCTGATAAACAACAACCATAAATTGATATAAAGACAATTCCGTGTTTCTAAAACCAAAACATAACAATTCATATAGATTTAGAGTTAAGAAACAACCCTATGTTGTGTTAAACATGTAACTTAGTTTAGATATTAGGGGCCATCAGAGGACAGGTATTGTAGGATAGAATTCAACAATTTATAATATTACCCCAAAACTAACTTTTCTAAGCCTGTTGTATTAAACATGTTTTTTCTTGATTTCACTGAAATTACATTACTATATTTGAGGTTATAAAGTGGTATGTCTTTTACTAATTTCATTGAATTTGCATTCCTATATTTTAGGTTGTAAAGTGGTATATCTTTTACTGTCCCTTCGATAAATCCGGATATTAATTATAAAAAAAAAAGCAAAAAGAAAACTACATTTTTGATGTGGAGAGCACTCGGGTCATTTAGTATAAAAAAACTAGATTTTGGATTAAATTTCTTATACAAAATCTGTGTCTATAGTTTATATTACATCAATTTTCCATGTGTTGCAGTTGTCTAAAGCAGGTGGTTTTTCTTGGAGCTTATGCCAATACTCTAGAGAGATAATAATAGAAGGGTGTGATGCTTTGTTAAGTGTGATTCCATGTTATGCAGCAGGACAAATGCAAAAGCTTCAAGTGCTGAAAATAAGCTCTTGCAAAGGGATGAAGGAGGTATTTGAAAACAGTGGTTGTGATGAAGGAAATGGTGGAATTCCAAGAGTAAATAACACAATTATGCTTCTGAATCTAAAGATATTGGAAATCAGCAATTGTAGTAGTTTGGAACATATATTCACATTCTCTGCACTCGAAAGCCTGAGACAGCTCCAAGAGTTAACGATAAAGTATTGCAAGGCAATGAAAGTGATTGTGAAGAAGGAAGAAGATGAATATGGAGAGCAGCAAACAAAAACAACGTTAAAGGCATCTTCTTCTAAGGAGATTGTGGTGTTTCCTCGTCTAACGTCCATTGTACTAAAAGATCTACCAGAGCTGGTGGGTTTCTTCTTAGGGAAGAATGAGTTCCGGTGGCCATCATGCTTAAACAAAACTGAAGTTTAAAAAAAATATAACCAATGCTTTTGGAACTGATCCCAATTCCCTATTTTTTGAACCGGAACTGGTTCTGTTGGTTGGGTTCCGGCCAGTCTCCTTACTAACAACCAAAAAAACGTTCTCCTGTCATCAAATATTTTATAAATGAAATTGCTTTTGCTGTAATTTATGCACAAAATTTAACAGCGATGTATAATATTACCCAAAACCAATTTCATCATCAACCAAACTAATAGAAATCATTGAGTTGGCCATTTGTATGATCTATAATGAATCCCTGTGTTAATTATAAAAAACCATAACTACATGTTTGATGTGGGAACACTGGTGTCATTTAGCATCATTAAACGTTAACTGTTGAATTAATTTTCTTATACCAAAGTATTGTATGTTGGTAACAGACAATTAAGCTATGCTAAGTATATAGTAGTTTGATTTTACATCAATTTTCCATGTGTTTGCAGTTGTCTGAAGCAGGCGGTGTTTCTTGGAGCTTATGCCAATACTCTAGAGAGATACGTATAAGGAATTGTGATGCATTGTCAAGTGTGATTCCATGTTATAGAGAAGGACAAATGCAAAAGCTTCAAGTGCTGAGAATATGGTCTTGTGATGGGATGAAGGAGGTATTTGAAACTAAAGGGACGAGCAGCAACAAAAACAAGAGTGGTTGTGAAGAAGGAAATGGTGGAATTCCAAGACAAGATAGCTTTATTATGCTTCCCAATCTAAAGATATTGGAAATCCACAATTGTGGGTGTTTGGAACATACCTTCACATTCTCTGCACTCGAAAGCCTGAGGCAGCTCGAAGAGTTAATGATAACATATTGCAAGGCAATGAAAGTGATTGTGAAGAAGGAAGAAAATGCATCTTCTAAGGAGGTTGTGGTGTTTCCTCGTCTCAAGTCCATTGAACTAGTGGGTCTGCCAAAGCTGGAGGGTTTCTTCTTGGGGAAGAATGAGTTCCGGTGGCCATCATTGGATGATGTTACCATCAAAAAATGTCCCCAAATGTCGATGTTCGCACCTGGTGGATCAACATCTCCCAAGCTCAAGTATATAAAAACAAGCTTTGGCATATATAGTGTCGATAACGATGGGCTTAACTTTCAGGTATAACTTTTTTTATTATTATTATTTTTACCACATCATCCAATTAAGTAAAAGTGTTTTAATTAAACACAGAAAATTTGCATTTAAACAAACTTTACATATCGATAACTTGCTTTATGATATCAAAAATCGAATTTTTCTGGTTGGGGTACGTAATTAGCATCATCATCTTTAATAATAATTATAATCTCTCTTCAATATTGATATTCGTCATTACTCTTCAAATTTCATTATAGTTATGGCATATGACATTTCAAATTCATGGTGTGTGTGTCTTTGTTGGACTTGCAGACCACATTCCCTGCTACCTCGGAAGGGATGCCTTGGTCTTTTCATAACTTGATCGAATTACATGTGGAACATCAGTTTGTTAATGTTAAAAAGATTATTCCATCCAGTAAGTTGCTGAAACTGCAAAAGCTGCAAAAGATTCATGTAGGCTATTGTTTTGGGGTAGAGGAGGTATTTGAAACATTGGAAGCAGCAGGGAGAAATGGAAATAGTGGAAGTGGAAGTGGTTTTGATGAATCGTCACAAACTACTACTACTACTCTTGTCAATCTTCCAAACCTAACACAAGTGGAGTTAGAATGGCTACCTCATCTGAGGCATATATGGAAGAGAAATCAAGGAACAACATTTGAGTATCCAAACCTAACAAGAGTTGATATTAATCAATGCAAAAAGTTAAAACATGTATTTACAAGTTCCATGGCTGGTGGTCTATTGCAACTCCAAGAGCTACGTATATTGAACTGCAGACATATGGAGGAGGTGATTGGCAAGGACACAAATGTAGTTGTAGAAGCAGAAGAATTTGATGGCGAGAGGAATGAGATACTTGTGTTACCTCGTCTAAAGTCCTTGAAATTACAAGACCTTCCATGTCTTAAGGGGTTTAGCTTGGGGAAGGAGGATTTTTCATTCCCATTATTGGATACTTTGGAAATCTTCAACTGCCCAGCAATAACGACTTTCACCAAAGGAAATTCTGCTACTCCACAGCTAAAAGAAATAGAAATAAATTTTGGCTTGTTTTATGCAGAGGAAGACATCAACTCCTCTATTATAAAGATCAAACAAGGGTAAACTAGATCTTTCTTGCTTTAATAATTCTTAAACTACATTTGAAAATTTCCATGTAAGTTTTTTTGTTATTGTCAGAATCTGCTACCTAAATATTCAAATTTATATTTATGTACTTTATGCAGGAATTCAAAAAAGACGAAGAGTCTGATTAATGTGAAGTAAGTAACTATTAAAGGTAAATTCTATTTTCATGTTTCCTGATTGCCTATTAATGGCCTTTTAATTCATGATTTTCGGATGTATTCTTCATGATAATGTAAATGCTCTAATACCCTATTCATTGTTAGGTTTAATCGTGATGACCATCTAAACCAATTGACTATCTGTCGATAGTATTCAAGGATAGAACTGTTCATCATATGAAGGAGGATACTAAAGAAGAACATGGTTGATGTGAAGATGTTAACATATGAATCAAATAACAAAGTACTCACTGATCTAAGTTTGTTGGTTGAAGATGTTGATTTCAATGTTTCAGATTCGTTGGTATCATTATGTGGGTTTATCAGTGTTAGTGGGATAACGAATGACTTAACCTAGCTAGATTATTTTGTTAGTAAATGCTGTACTCAGGCATGGAAAAATAGGAATGGCTTGTGAAAAATATATGCAAAATGCAATGGTGAAATACTTGAAACTTAATTGGTAGGTTGAGATGTTTAATGAGAATATTATTGGGTATTCTTGAAGCACATACCATGAAAGTAATTAGAAGCAGAATTTGCTTCCATCTTCAGCAACTTATTGTTTCCTTTCTTACCTGCAAAAATCTGATTAAAGTTTAGTGTTATTCCTACTCTTTACCACCCAAGAAAAGAGATCGGTGCAAATTTTCATAAGTATTTGTCATCAGAAAGGCACAAATAAGTTCATAGTAACATAAGAAAATTAATACACCCCAATAGATTTGAAAAAGGTAAATTCAAAAGATTTAAATGAGTTTCAAACTGTATGCAACTAGGATTCAACTGAGAAATACAAAACTACAAAAGTATCCTACAACAATGTTAATCAACCATTCAGACTAAAATTGTATTATAGTAAATCGAACTATTCAATATGAGCTCATCATGTGTTGAGGATCAATAAATTCATAGGTTTTTCATTACTACACAATTTTCATAGGTTTTGCTTCTCCGGTTTGAGGTATTCAGTTCTTCACCTAGATTTTTACATATCAAGTGCAATCGGTGGAATCTGGCATTTTGTTGTATAAATAAAAGAGGGAGGATTTATAGTGTGTTTGGTGGTGCACTTGTAGCGTTTATGTATGTATTTATGGAGATTATTGGATTTTGAGTTGTTTAGAAGTCAAGAACACTGAAGGTGCAAGATGAATCTCATGGATAATGTTATTAAAAGAGGTTAAGAACCATGTTTTTTATAACCATGATGTGTAGGGTCTATTTAGTGCCTATGGGATGCAAGTAATAGACATTTTGTTGAGGTGAAAAGGGATGCAAATAGTGTCAGTAATTTGAAGTAATATAAACCAAATAAAATTTGATTCTCATTTTCTCATATATGTTAATTAAGGCAAAAAATCAAACACCTGGTGTACACCAACGTTTCTCTGCTTCCTGTTTCGATCACCAGCTTCAAAACCTAAAATAACTCTATGCAGTTCAACAAAACCCAAAATCAAATTGCTACAAATCACTTGAGACTGAATTAACTTGTGCTGAAGTGATGATATCAGCAACCAGAACCATCAATAATAGAAGAACGACTCTTGAAATTAAGAGAAGACATATTAAGGAATAACAAAGTAAAATAGAGTGATGAAGATACGTACGTATTCAATCATATCCCTTCCCTTACAACACTTATCATAACAAACTCCGTTGCTAACAACTTGTACTAATAATCATGTGGACTATGTAGATGAAAATAGGTGATCTATGGACACTCCCCAAGGGTAAGGGGTAACCTATGAATGACCATAATCACATGAATAATTTCAAGATAAACATACTAAGAAAATTTAATATATCTCAATGGTCGCTACAGCCTATTAGATAATAGAAAAAAAAAAATGAAAGATTGAATTAGTTTTTGAGTAAATTACCCAAATGGTCCCTGTGGCATATTTTGTTCCTAACTCTTTTTTAACTCAGACCCTTCTTATGGTATGTTTTTGTTATGGTTTTGGTCAGACCCTTCTTATGGTATGTTTTTGTTATGGTTTTGGTCATTGTTGTACATGAAGGTAGAATGTTGCCCTTATTAATTACAAAATAAGGAAGGCCAGTTAGTTAAAATAAAAATTGACAGTCTTCGTTATAAATTTATAACACAAGTCTTCAAATTACTTTTCTTATCTGGTAACGGTCATTGCTAAAATTAATAATTTTGATTTTAACATCTCAAAATAATAAGAGAAAAAGACCGATCACACTAATATCATCAAAAACTTCCAAAATTAAGTAAAAATTAGTTACTTAACCAAAATAGCAATGATTTTTGTAGGTGGCGAAAACTTTGAAACGATACCGTTTTGAGGATTTTTCGTAGATGGCCATTTGCGCAAAAGTGGGTCCCAAAACTACATGTGAGGAAAATAAAAATGAAATTGTAGCTTCTCATCTGCGAAAATTGAAGTTTATCTACAAATATTTAAAAAGAATCATCCTTTTTGAATTTGTGTATTAAAAGCTTCAAAAGCCATTTCCACAACAAAATAAAACTTAATATGTAACAAATAAATGATACTACACAAATTGATAGAGCCAAAGTGTGTGTAGGTTTCTATTATCCGGAAAACATGTAGGTTTCTACACAAATTGTCCCTAACTATTTTTTAATGAGAACCATCCCAATGGTTTTATTTTGTTGCAGGTTTCGTCCCTTCCCATCTTAAAATTACTCTACTACCCATACCCACTATTTTTTATATTTTCAATTATTTAAATAAATATTTTAATTATTGGATACAACCATTGGGTCCCAACACCCCTCCTACTCCCACCCAACCCACCCTTTCCCCTCACCCCCTTCTTATGATATTTCGTCTCCGGCAAACCACCACCACTCCCTAATATCCTTCCATCCATCTCATTTCCCCTTTCCATTCTACATTCTCTTCATTGTCTTCTCCACCGCCACCGCCACCTAACCTATCATAACCCTTGACGGAAAATTGATACCGGAAACCAAAATCGTAGAACCTTAGATCAATTGAAAATCAAAAATCAAAAATAAAAATGCAAACCAAAACCTGAAAGCCAAATGAAGAACAAAATCGATCAATTTCTGAATATGAAAGACAAAATTGATCGATTTATAAAATTGAAAACCAAGATCACATAAATCGATTAGACTTTATGAAAACCAAATTCGATCCATGTATCATCCATCACTGGGATTCTGTGGAGTTGGAGATCTATTTTATTTGATTAAAACCTGCCAAAAAACCAAAATCGATCCGTATATGAAAAAAAAAATTAGGATAAAACCTACAAGAAATGCACTAAATTAAAAGAAATTATTAAAATTAGCCATGATTGGGAATCGTTTTTTGTTGGATTAAATATTCTAAGAAATAAAAAGACACCAAAATTTGCTCCCCACTCCTTTACATATATTAATCAACAACAATTGTGGATCCTTCACACCCGCCATATCCTCATCATGACACTCTAGTGAGACTCAAACCTACGAAAACTAGAAAGAAATTAGCATTTGTTTTTTAGGATTTCTCTAGTGAATAAGGAAACACACACACACATACACACATAGATTTCAGCTGGTGGTGGTGCGAGTAAGAGAAAGCAGTGAATGTTCTCTGCTATGAAAGGGTGGAGGGGAGGCCACATATACGTAGTGACCAAAATATAAATATGGTCACTAAATAGTGACTAAAATATACTCGTCACTAAATCTGTGACGACCCATTTTGTCACTAAATGTTGTCACTAGTTGTAACATTCAGTCTTGGCGCGAATCATTTCTCATTGTTCCTTAATTCTTTTGAGGGTGAATACGACATGCTGTGGCATCACCATGTCGCGGTGTGTCATTTTGTATCGCGGTACTTAATTGACCCAAGACGGCGTATACTTGAGGCAACACGACATGGTGGATGCAATTAGTGAAAACCCTAATTTTCAGGCCTTGGACCCTATTTAAGGAACATTAAGGCTAGAGTTTCAGCCTCCATCCTTCATACAACCTCAAAAACCCTAACCCTAGCCTACATTGAAGTTGTGAGCTCATTTTGGTGCACTTTTAGTGATCTTAGAAGGTGAAGGAAGAAATTGGTGAGGTGATTTCGTGGAAGGCCTTGTTTCTTCAGCTTAGCTCATCTCTTGGACCTTCGTGAGTACCCAAGACTCCAGTTTTTCTTATTTTGCTGATAGATCTCTTGCTTTTGTCCCATTTTCCCATGATTTGGTTTGATTTAGGTGATGAGATCTCATCAAGTTTGCAACTTTAAGAATCCCCAGGTAAAGGTGGTCTAGTAGTGTCTTGGATCTGGACTATAATCAAGTTTTGATGTCATGCATAAAGATTTAGGTCATAATACCTCTTTTTAACGTAATATTGCTTGAAGACATGCATTGGACATGGATGACTATAAAGAACCAACTTTTAGGTTAGTTTTGATGTTGGAATCATTTCTGCAAGAGATGGACTTTAAACTTTATTGAATAAGTGCTTATTGATTAAGTCCTTACATTTTTAATCCTTATGGGACTTAGAGATTGGGTTTTGGACCTTTTGGGTGATCCTATTAGATAAAGTCAGAAAATTCATTCTTCTAGATCACATTTTTGACTAGATCTGAGCTTTAGAGTGCTTGGAGTCGAACAAAATAGCTTAATGTATTAAGCTGTTGGAACCTCGACAAACACAACGTGTCCAAGGGGCAACACGGCGTGTTGGCTGAAGTTTTCCCGACTATTGAGTTTTTTTGTGCGACACGGCGTGTCCAAGGTGCAACACGGCATGGTGGAGTCAACCTTGACCATTGACTTTGACTTTTGGATCTTGACTTGGATGTTGACCTAAGTTTCACCTAGGGGTATTTTGGGTAATTTGAATTATAAACTGAGTTCTGGTCGCTATTATTTGTAAAGTTGACCAGTAGAGTCGGTTTTCAGAGTAGCTTGTTGATTCAGCTTTTCATCTGTCTATGAGGTGAGTTTTCACACTGTATCAATGGGTCGAAGGCACCAAGGCCGGCCCATTATTTATGATATAGGATACTGGCTATCTTTGTGATATATGTATGAAAGATTAGGATTTGATCCCTGGCAATTGTATGAAAGATCACGATATGGTCCCTTACATCTGTATGAAAGAGCAGGATCTGGCCCCTAGCACTTATACCGAAGACCGAGATTTGGGCCTCGACATTGCAAGGAAAATCATGATTTGGCCCATAACAGAAATTGCTTGTAAGACTATGATTTGGCCCATAGCATTAACTTATTTATGTATGGTATGTGGTACTCTGGGAAACTCACTAAGCTTTTGTTTACCGTTTATCTTTATGGTTTCAGGTATATCCGGTAGTAAGAGGAAGGGCCCGACATGATGACACATCATTCTCCCCTCAGGATTTTCCGCACTTTTTGATATTGTTACTCTGATGATTTGACATCTGTACTATGTGATGGTTTTGGAACAATTTGATGACTGTAACTCT